ACAGGCAATACATTTCCTTTTTTGTTGTTCAATAATAAATGTGTACCGTATTCTTCTTCATGGAAAAATAAGACATCCCCTGAAAATAAGACCTAGCGCACCTTTGGGAGCAAAAACTAATATAAGACACTGTCTTATTTTCGGGGAAACGGGGTAGACGGCTTTCTTTCAGTTGACTGGAGTGTTCGGTCTTATTTCGGTCACCCATTAGTGCAGGGATGCGAGGCGGAGCGGTGGGGCTTAGTACAGAGATGTCCTCATGCGTTGCGTGAGCATGAGGAGTTACTTGGCCTCTGTGGGCCTCGGTTTCTCGGGTGTAAAACGAGAGCCGGGAGCCCCCAGCCATGGCCCGGAGGAATGGAAAAGGGGGCAGTCACCGGAGAGCAGCCTGGCAGCTCTGCCCAGTGTGAACTGGATAGTCATGGCGGAGCTGGGTCAGAGGGTATCTGAACCGCTGGAGGTCACACTGTAGCCTGCTCTGCAAACGGTCAACTCGTTCATGATAAAAAAAATGTAAATGAATAAAATTAAAGAGCGAGAGAAAGTGAAAAGTTAATTATAGAACCTTCCTCTCCAATTGGAGGAGCTGTGGTCCCAAGAGGGTGGGGTGAATGCTTGTTGTTTTCTCTCTCTCTCTCTGTCATCGGAAAGGTTGGTCCACATGGGGACATTTTTAGGAAGTCCACAACTGAAGAAGGTCCACAAAGCCCCCTTTTCTGTCTGGAGAAAGGGAAAGGAGATCCCCAGGGATATGGTAGAGGGAGCTTAGAAAAGCTACCCCATAACATTGGCCACGAACTCTTGGTTCACTCTTGAGCTCCACACACATGGTTCTGACCCTCAGGAGACTTTGAGAATTGAAAGATGAGCTAGACCACCACCCAGGTCCCTACCAGGCCCTGTGGGGGGCTGGGGGCACACATGGGACAGAGCCAAATGGCACTGCACCCACACTGAACTGCCATGGGATGCACAAGTCACAGAAGGCTGGCCAGGACTTGCAGCCTGAACTAAAGCAGGTGACTACCGATAAACAAGTGTCAACATTCTCCATAGGATTTAAACGTCCATTCAAAATTATATCCAGGATATAATTCCAGATAACTCGGCAGATGAGGGACCAGGAAATTCTCAGCTCATATGAAACAAGAGTCAACAGATGCCAAGACTGAGATGATATTCATGTTGAAATGACCTAGGACACAGTTTAAAGTAGGTGCCATAAAGATGGAGTCCTAGAGGCTCGTTTTGCGCGTGCACACACACACACACACACACACACGCGCGCGCGCGCGCGCGCGCGCGTGTGTGTGTGTGTGTGTGTGTGTGTGTGTGTGTGTGTGTGTATGTGTTTTAAGTATTTGGATAACTGCAAGGTCATCAGTTCAAACCTACCCCTTGCTCCATGAGAAAAAGGTGAGACTGTCTGTTCCCATAAGTATTTAGTCTTGGAGCAGTTCTACTCTGTTCTATCGGGTCACTATGAGTTGGAATCCACTCGAGGCAGTGGGTTGGGCTTATCATAAACATGCTCCAGAAAGTAACGTGGACGCTCTTAAAATTTATGGATAGGTAGAGAGTCTCAAACAAGAAAAATATATTCAAAGGAGCCAACTGTAAAACTTCAAAGTGAAAAATACAATAAAAGAAATAAAAGAACTTTCATCAGAGATCATCAGAGAAAGCAGTGAAATTAGCTTTAAAAAACAAACAAACAAAAAACCTATTGTGGAGATTGTGAGCTAGAGTTCCACCCAAGATATTCTTTTCATAATAAAAATCATCTGGACAGGGCTATTCATTGTGGCTGGCGGAGGTGTTCAAACTGAGTCCCGCCACTCTGTCTTGGCCAGCCTCCTTCCTGCCTGAGAAATTCTTCTCCCCTTTTTTTATCCCTCAGTGCACAGCGCCTGGGTCCCCCAACTTTCCCATCCACTGTAATCTCCCTTCTCAAGTATTTCCACTTGCTCATGATTAACCACAGTCGCCTGGAGTAATTCCCCGCCTCACCCCTATTTTGAGCTCCCAAGGGCAGGAATCATTATCGTCTTCTCCTTCATTTCCTGTGTTCTCTACCAGGAAGCATTACTTGCATAGAAAACAGTCGATAAAGGATGGTTGAATGTATGGTAGCCACAGAGGGCCAGAATTTAGCATCTACCAGAGTCACTAATTAGCATGGTGCAGCTACGGGAGTAGGAGTTGGGCAAAAGATGACCAGCCTCTCAAGGGTCTCAGAGTGATGACACTCAGCCCAAGCTGCAGCACAGCCCATGGGGGAGCCTGAAGCCGAAGGAGCGAGGGGCCAGGACTCCACGGCCCAGACTTTAAGAACATTCTTTCTGGCCAGCCTCTTGGATGGAGCGGTGCGTTGGGAGTCTGACCTTATCTGCATCCCTTTTCTACAGGAGCACATGTCCTTGCGCAGCAGGAGGCTGTTCAGGGTCACGGCCCCAATCAGGAAGAAGAGCTGCTTCACGGCCTGCCGCACGAGCTCGGGGTCCAGGCCGTTCTGGCACATGGTGCTGTAGAAGTAGCTCAGCTGCTGCAGGACTGACGTCATTGTGTAGGCGTCTGTGTCATCTATGCTGGATGACCGCTTCCGGAAGCCCGTGGGCTTCAGGCCGGAAATGCCCTGCAGACTCTCGTACTCCAGCATGCCTGGCACTGCAGAGAAGACACCAAATTGTCCGTCACACCCAGAGGACACTTCCCATTGCCTTCATGGGCTATTCCAGCAGAGAGGGCATATGTGTAGATAGATACATACATAGATACATAGATAGATGCATAGATATATAGATAGATGCATAGATACATAGATGCATAGATAGACAGATGCATAGATACATAGATAGATATAGATAGATAGATAGATAGATAGATAGATAGATAGATAGAAAGACAGCTATTGGCAAGAATTAGCAGAAGTCGTTGGGAGAAAGCAGAGGGATCAAGGATTTGCGAGCATGGGGAGAGGGTATGGACCACTGTGTACAGTAGGGAAGCTCTTCTTTGAAGCCCAGAGCCTGTCATTTTTAGACTCGCTCAAAAAGGAGCGCATATTAACAGGATAGCTCATGGTTGGGAACCACTGAAAGCCAAAGACTTCAGGAAATCGAAGAGACTGACGAAAGTCTGGGGCAACCACGAATTTGAGTGGAATGTTGAGATTTCCAAAAGAGTTGACGGAGCCACACGAAGAATAAGAAGTAGCAATCTTTCCCTCCAGAGAGGAAAACCTCAGAGAAAGACGACGACCAGCTACATCCTATTACTTACATTGTTTTAAGTAATTAAAGGATTAAAGGGTGGTTGCTTACAAAATTCCATTTTCTTAGTTTTTCAAAATACATTATTTATAACCACACATTCCATATACGCCGGATTTACTTTTTTGAAAGTTTCAGTATTGAGGGGTCCACATTTGTTTTCTTACCTATGATTGGCTGGATGTTATTTTCCATCACGACAATGAACTGGTGATAGATTCGAATAGCCACATCACTCAGAATTTGTCTGTATTCTGAAAGGTCAAAGTTACTCAAGCAATTCTTATTCTGATGTGGACTGTTATGTTTCATGAATTCCTGAAAGTAATTTTGTAGATGACATGTTACGATAACATAGGCATAGAGGACATTAATGCATGATTCCTATAATGACATTATACATCGCTTCTACTACAACTCAAATTCAACGTGTTTGGCTTGCTTCAAATGAGTTCCTGATGTTTGAGGGAGCGTTTACTTTCTGCAAGGGGTGGAAATCGGCAATGACTTCTTGTCTGAGCTCAGGCCATTCTGCTGCTGGATGACACTGCTTCCTCCCCATCCTGCAGCCCTCCAAAGAGGTGGCCCCAGAGTCTATCAACCACAGGGGAAAACAACTCCCACAAAAGCTCAGGGTCAAACATCTCAAAAACCAAACTTTGGTGAGCAGTTAGTAGGGAAAATAAGTGGGAATTCATAACCTTGCATTTCAAGAATATAGACCAATGGGAAATATTTCAAAATAAGTACGTTGAACATGTTTAGAGAAACAAAAGGCAACAGAAAAGTGGGTGAAGGGAGACATCACACAATGTAAGAAATGACAAAATACTAATAATTT